CCAAAATATTAACATTTTAAAGAAAGATGAGCTCCAACCCGGCACTTGAACGCTCAAGGTTACTCACCTCCCCTTGTCTCAGCGCTAGGAATGAAAGCACTTACCTCCAGGTGCTGGGGTGAGATTTAAATGAGATACAGCAGGTAAAGCGCCCTCACCTTGCCAGGCTGCCCATAAAGGGTCCGGTTCTCCGGAGGCGAAAAGGTGCCAAACGGTGTAGGTTTTCAGTGCTGCCACTAGGGGGCAGAGGCTCGCTGCAAATTGCGCACAACGGCCCTGTGCCAGAATCAACCCACCCTCAGCCCTCCTCTCTGAGTCCCCTTCCCCTCCGAGTCCCCAGGCCCCAGCTTCAGCATGCAGATTCATCGTGCCACGCCTTTGCCTGGCGCAGTTTCTTCTGGAATGGCCGGCCCTCCTGGCAAAAGTTCTATTTATTATAAGATGAACCAGAAAGGAGAGACAGGTGACTTCTTGGGGCACGAACTTGGGCACCGTCTGTGTCCCGTGCCTCAGGACAACCTCCTAGCTAGTTTGCATTGCCATCTGACAGATAAAGAAACTGAGGCTCAGACAGGGTACACACTTGCTCAGGGTCATGCAGCTAGTCAGAGACTGAACTGGGATCCGCACCCAGTCTGTTTGAATCTAGAATTCGTGGCTTTTCTACCCCCAAGAACATGTTTAAGCATAAGCACTGTCAGGGGTCAGCCTGGAGAAAGGGGACGGAAAGGGAGACAGAACAAGGCTCTGGAGTGACAGCCTCACCCAGACCCTCTCAGCAGCCCACCAATGCTCCGAGACTTCCTCGCAGGTGCAGAGGAGACCCCGGTTTTATGGGCTAAAGGCAAAGGGCCAGGCTTCAGATAGCTGTTACCGGGGTAAGAGCCCTATGACTCTCCTCTAGAGACCCCAGGCTCTGGTGGACGACCTGGTTCCTCTTGGAGAAGGCCTCCAGATGCTTCTGGATGTCCTGGTTGATGGTGAAGAGCTTCCCGTAGTGCTCCACCACGGTCTCCACGAGGGCCTCCTCCGGCCCCTCCCCTTCACTGTGGCCTGTGGAGACAGTGCCAAGGAGGGATGGGTGGGCACAGAGAGCCCAGCCCCCACCTGCCCCCTGCAGTGGTGATGCTAATGAGGCAGATGGGACTTCTGCCGAGGTCCCGAAATCCCAGCTGGAGTCCCAAAGTCGACAGGTGCCAGACAATCCACGCAGGGCTTACTCCCAGATGGCAGGACTGGTCCAGCAACTGTCCGGCCTCATCGCCCGCCTCCCGCCCCTTCAAGAGAAGCGGCAACATTAGAAGGACCACCTAGCGGCCAAGAACCCGGATTCCGGATCCAGACTGCCCGGTGAGACAGGAGACTGTCCCCCAGGAAAAAGTGCTGACTGGGGGAGCCCACAAGAAGGGGATAGCAATTGTTGCTGTCCTGAGTGATAGGGTCCCCGGCTTTGGTGGTGACCCATCCCGGATGGGGTGAGCAGGGTTGAATTGCTGAGTTAGGAAGACTCCAAACCAGGAGGCTGCTTTAGAAGCAGCTCTGGGTGCCGGGTCTGGTCAAGCCCCATGCTGACCTGGAGCCCTCACCCCTCCTTGGCTTGGCGCTCGAAGCTCTTTGGTGCTGCTCAACTTTCTGGCGCCATCTCCCAGCAACTCCCCGAACCAGGTCCCGGTGCTCCAGCATACTGGAACTCACCATCCCCAAACCCGTCATGCAGGGCTGTGGCTCCAGCCTACGTTGTTGCTGTTCCCCCTGCCTGCCATGCTCTTCCCCCTCGCTGAGCTCACTTGAGCCCAATGAGAGGCCACCTCCTCCGCGAAGCCTGCCCTGACCTCCGGGGCAGAGTTTTGGGAGGGGCTCTCACAGCTCCACAGCGCTTAGTGCAGTGGCTCTGAAGTCAGACCAGAATCTGAGACCCGGCCCCAGTATTTCCTGGCTGGGCATTTGGGGCAAGCTCCTTAACGTCTCTGAGCCTGGGTAACAGAAGCTCACGCAGAGGGGTACAAAAAGATTCACTAAAGAGCTTGGCACAGAGTAAGTAGTTAATAAACGGTAATAGTTGTTTTTATTGGTGTGATGTTGAGATAATGACGATGAGAAAAATACCTGCTTGTGTCCCCTTCCCTTTCCTAACAAGCTTCTGGCCCGGATGGCAGTGGGCTCTGGGTTGAATCAGGATAAAACAAAACGCAAAGCCCATTTCCGGTGTCTGTGTCATTGTCGTCGGTCATAGCGACACATGCAACAAAACCAAAGACCCACGAAATAGTAGTGATAATAGCTAACATTTACCAGGTGTCAGCTGAATGCCGGGGCTTCTGAAGGGTGACTTCCTCCATTCGCGTGACCGGTGCGTCTCCCCTTGTACAGATAAAGAAACCAGGACCTCGAGAGCTTGCCACAGGCCACAGTGGCCTCACCGGGGTTCACCAGGCAGGCTCGCTGGGCACCTGTGCCCTTTTGAACCCCTGTGGCCTCGACCTTTGCGGGTCCTCATGCTGCAGGTGGAGTTCAAGGCTCACACAGTGTCCTGGCCCCAAGGCTGGGAGGCGGCCTCGGAGGGGAAGCTCCATACATAACCCTTGGGGATCTTCTCGAGGACCTCAATCAGAGAGTCTTCAAAAAAGTCTGTGCTTCTCCACCTCCCTCTTCAGCTTCCCCTGCCTGCAGGGACATTTCAGTGACAGGAAGAGCCAGGCACCAGTGCCTTGTTTGGAGGCTCCCAGGTCATGACCTCTTGCAAGGCTTTCCCTGGATCTCCTGCTCAGACTTGCCCTGGCCAGTCCCCCCCCTCTACCCCTCATCTCCACCCCATTTCCTGATGAGCTAACTGAGCCACAACGGTTCAAAGAGCTGCCGTGGTCAGGCACGGGGGAGAGTGGAGTCCAGTCTGTCTGGTGGGGGGGTGGGGGGGTCTACAGAGCCTCTCCTAGAGGTAGCCTGAGCCCCCCCTACCAGCTGGTGACCTGGCCAGGAGCTTCACTTCTGTGCTTGGACAGCCCATCTGTAACGACAGTAGTGAGAGCCCCTCCCTGGGATTACGCATGGGGTGCCCAGCACATGGCAAGCGCTTAGTCCGAGGTCGGGGGCCCCAGCACCCCGAGAGGGGAGATGACCGCTTACTGCTGCCCAGCCACGCTTGTCTCTTAGGCGAGCCCCTGAGCAAGATAGGTCTCCAGTAGGGCTCCTGCTCTGTGCCCCGTCAAGGTCAGGGGTCAAGGGCAGAGGCAGAGCGGGCCCCCTCCCCACTCCGGTCAGCTGGCTGAGCCTCCAGGAGCTGTGGTAGGATCTCTGAGTGATTGCTGAGTGACCCAAGGCAGGCCTCTCTGCCTCTCGTGCCCCATCTTGTCATCCATACAGTCCTGGAAAATGCAGGGAAACTGTCTTTCCCCACAAACACCATGTATGTGGGCCCTGCGCATCATGGGGCTAAACCATAGTGGGGTCGGGAAGCCATTCTAGAATCTGATGGAAGGGTTGGACCTTTTCTCCATAAAATTGCTCATGGACACAGCCTTTTGCATCTAATTCAGGCTTTTAAGGGCAAGCTGAAACCGGAGGGCTGCCTGAGGGGAGAGGACCCAGGGTCGCCTTGCAAGTTGACTTGGGTTGAGCTGATAGGTGCAGGGGACGGCCACCCACAGCCCTGCCTCTGACAGGAGACGAAGCCTGCAGAGGGCGTGGGATGGCCCAAGGTCCCCCACCGCCCCCACCGGGGCCGCCCCTCCCCATTTTCTTCCAGGTGTCCTTGTCCCTTCCCTGACGGCCCTTGCAACGTTCGCTCAGTCCTGGCCACTTAGCCCACCACGGGTGGCGCTGGGTCTGGGGCAGGGGTCCAGCGTGGCCTGGGTCAACTCGTACTTGGCCGGGGGCTGGCAGAGTTCTGTAACAGCGCCTGCAGGGCCCTGTCCTTGTCGACAGTCACACTGGCCTGTGTCCCTGGCCACCAGCATTGCCCCTCGCTGCCCCGGCTGTGCTAGAGGACGAGGGCCGCGTGGGCCAGGTGGGAAGAGGATGGACAGCAAAGGCAACAAGGAGGACAGCAGCTTTCTCTCCGACCTTCCCGACGGTCCCCAAAAGCCAGGGTACATTCCCGCTTCCTAGAAAAGGAGACAGAGGCTCCGAGGGGGCCTGTGGCCTGCCCAGGAACACACGGCAGGACTGGATATGGACTGGAGCTCATTAAAGCCAATGTTTGGGGTCTTTGAGCTGCACCCCCAGCTCTGGAAGGGCCAGGTTTGCCTTTCTATAGTGGCATTATTGGCCTTACCACCCCATAACTGGGATCGGTCCCATCATCGTCAAGTCCCAAATTCACCAAGATGCCCGGGCCTTCCAACAGGTGCTGGTTCCCAACAAGAGAGTCCCAGGGTCAGGGCTGGGGGCTGGTTCAGAAAGCAGCCCGCATGGGGAGGGGACACCTTTGTCACCTACCCTGCCCACCCACCCTCCACCCCTTTATGCATTCAGTGACATCACTGTGAGCGGATGGGAGCTTATCAAAAGACAGTGGGGGCTGGGACAGATCAGTGAGCCCGTAGTCAGGCTGGGGAGGTGGCCTAGGTAACAGGTAGTTTCCACACAGCCTTGCAAAGAGCTCCCGGACCATTTGCCTAAGCCCGGTTCCCAGTTATGACCCAAAGGAGAAGGAAGTCTCCCTAAGCCTGCCATTCATTGGCCATCTGCTGGACCAGCCATAGCACGTGCGTGGAGCAGGGAGAGAAGGTGAGGGGCTACATGGTCAGCCTTTCTAGCCCTGAGCATCAGACGTGAGCCTGGGGAAGGAGGAGGGGGTCCGGTTGACTCACTCACAGCTTCAAGGGCACAGAGCCACAGCGGGGCCGTGACATCATAACGTTGGCTTCTGTCCTTATGACATGTCCACTGCAGGATCCACCCGTGGGTGGCGGGCTGCGTTCTCCGTGGCCTTACCCCTGCCTCCCTGGTTCAGGTCCCAAGGAGAAGGGGGAGAGGCATCAGTGACCCCAGGGAGACTTGGGCTGTTTTTGTCCTGAAAGGCTGGCCGACTATAGGCAAGGTAGAGGTCGTTTTTAATGTTCCCACTCCGCGGGCTCCCCAGATCCCACTGGCGTGCCCCAGGACTCTCCCTGTTACCTCCTTCTACCTGACTTTGCATGGCTGCAGGCTGTGCAGTTCCCCAGCTGGGGCACTGAGCAACCCATAACGACTCAGCCCTGCCCCTGGCTCAGAACCACACCCGGCCCAGGGTAGGGGAAGGGGCATGCTGGAGGGGGCCTCGGGTCCTCAACCTGGGACCAGCCCCTGCCTTATGGCTTGGCCCTGCTGCCTGCTGTTGAAGCTGCTGGGCCTGTGGCATTTGGGGGAGCCGGGCCTGGTGCCCTACTAACTGTCCAGGCCTCCCCAGCAAAGCCCCATTTGCTCAGAGCCAGGGTCTCACGGAGGGCAGCCTGGATAGCCCTGGCGAGAATGCTGGGGGGAGGAAGGGACCACAGTGAGGGGAAAGGTGGCTGGGGGAGCCCGGGGCAGGGGCCGGGGCCTCTGGTGAGAGGGCAGGGGCAGGAAGTGGGGCCTACGCAAGGGCCCGCACTCAGAGGGCAGTGGATCGAGTCCCTGCCGGCCCAGGAGTCCCTGAGCAGGACTCAAGAGAGCTGTCTCTGTCTGACCTCCATGGTTCTAGAGGCCCTCAAACCCCTGAGGAGCACAGACTGAGGAAGGACGGAGAGCGGGGCCTGGTGCTGGCCTTGGGTTCATGTGGTGCAGATGGTCAGAGGTCTGGGGTCTGGGGTCTGAGGTTGCCCAGAGAGTCAGAGCCGGCCTGAGGGCGGAGGTGGGGAGCAGGGCTGGAGGAGTCTCCCGGAGTCGACAATGTCTGAGGTGGTTCTTGAGGATAAGGACGAGCCAGGAAAAGTAAGGTGGGAACATATTCCTGGCAGAAGGAACAGCCGGGACGAAGGTTCAGAGGCAGGAAATAGCGTCCAGGTCTGTGAGAACTAGAGGCAGATCCTTAAAAGCAGAAGGCGAAGGTCAGAGTGGGAGCGGTGTGGCTGTGGCCGGAGGAGCCGTCAGCAGGAGCCAGTGTCCGTGCCAGGCTCTCTGTTGCCTGCGACATAAGGGGGCATCAGTGGAAGGTGCGAGGGAGGCCGCAACATCAGCAGAAGAGCTAAAACCCAGGCTCGGAGAGTGTGGGGGCCCACGGCAACCCTGGAGATCCAGGCAGCAGGAGCTCAGGGGGGACATCCTCCCAAATGGACCCTCCCCTACCCCTCGATCCCCAAGATCCCCAAGAATCAAGGTCCTTAGAGAGGGCCAAGCCTGGTCATGTGCCCGCCCCTTGGCTTGACTGACAGTCACATCGTAGGAACTGCACTGGGGGCTGGAAGTTTCCCAGAGCAAATCCCAGGCCTTTGGCGGGAGACCCGGAAATGGATGCTTAGCAGGTGCTCAGCACACGGAGGCTCAGGGGAGTCCGGCGAGTCTGGGCTTTATCCCGAAGACAACAGGCAGCTGGAGGGACCCAGCGGAAGGAGTGCCATGGTCAGACTGGCATTTTGGAGCATGCTCTCGGGCTCAGAGCAGAGGTGAGGCAGGGAGGCGGGCAGTTCTAGCGTCTAACATTTGTCAGGACACTTCTAAGCGCTTTCCAAGCAGGGCGTAAAATCACGTGGCGCGCCACGAGGTCAGAGCTGTCCTTTCACTGGGGGGAAACTGAGGCACAGAGAGACACACGCCCAAGGCCTCACTGTTGGGAAATCGAGGAGCTGAGCTGTTAATCTAGGAAGCTGGGACTTCAGAAAGTCTCGGAGGTTGAGTTGCTGGGACTTGGGAACCGATCCAGTGGGGACGCCACAAGCTGGGTCATAGGGTGAGGGAGGGCTGCCCCCCGGGGGAGACCCTGTTAGCGCCTGTGGGCGTGGGGCCTTCACACGTGCAGGGCAGACGACTGCCCCTCTCCTGGGCTTCAGCAGATCCGGGAGAAGGCCTCCCTAGACCTCATCGTTCTCCAGGCTCCCAAACCCTAGGATCCCCTCTCCTGGTCATTTGGGGCCCTGAACCACTTGACCCAGTATGGCCGCAGGCAGGGACAGCAAAACAGCAAAAGGGACGGTCAGATTAGGCCTCCTGCCCAGATTTCCAGCCCTGCGTGCCCTGTAGCCCCAAATGTCCCCAAGCCCCACGGCCAGCCCTTCCCCAGCCACGGGGCGGGGCGGTGTTCAGGAGGGCTACCACCTGTGTGACCTCAGGGAAAGTACATAACCTCTCTGAGCCTCAGGTTTGAAATGTAAAGTGGAGGTGATAACTGTGATGAGGGAGCTTGGGGCGAGCTGGGGACAAAGTGCAAGCAAGCGGCCCCGCCCCCACCCCCCCAGGCGGGATGCGGGATGCGTGTGACCTTCCTCAGGCACGTCTGGCTCCTCAAGGACAAAGGAAAGGAAAGGAAACAAATGGCCAGCGGATAGAGATCACAGTCCTACGGGACATGGGTCCCCCTCAGTTTGCAAATATCGTAGTGAATGACAAGAGAAGGGCAGTGTTACCCATCGCCGAATCCCCAGAAACCTAGAGACTCGCAGCATCACCCCTCCATAGTGATGTGGGGAACGAAGGCAGAAGGAAATGGCCAGTAAAATTAAATTTCCTCCTGACCTGCAGCCCATTGACAGATACTTGGGGCGAATCCAGAGTGTAACATTCTCCAGGAACCCTCTACCCTCCTAATGCCCTTAGCTTAACAATAGCAGATCCTCGGTGGAGTATCTTGAGTATCTTTGGAGTCCTCTTTAGCACATCAAAGTCCCTCCAGGGGCCTCGCATTTGACTTTGCCTCCCCAACTCCATAGAGTATAAGGAGCCACTCTTTCAACCCCAGTGCAGCTCTTCCTGCCCACG